AGTGTGGCAGCGGTAGTGAGGTTGGCCCAGGATCGGACATTGTTTCGTTCTGCTGTGCATGGAGTCGCTATGAGTCGGTTCAGACTCAATTGCACCTGATAACAACAACAACATATTCCCCCAGGGCAGAGGGAGTGTTCATTCCCATTTTACTGATGCATACACTGAGGCTCTGAAGTGAAGCCAACAGCTCTGAAGGAGCAGAGCTGGGAACACACCCTGTTTATTCCTGATAGCTCCTCCCAGTGCACCATGCCCCACTTCCCTGATTGCTCGTCTTGTGACAAGCAAAGCATGGTGAGCTGCAGACAGGACCAGAGAGTGTGGTTGTGTTCTGCAAAGTCAGCCAGAATCAGTCTGGTCCTGGAGCTTTCTTGTCCCCCTGGGAGAGAAGGAATCGGGGAGTAGCTTGAAGGGAAGCTGAGAGTAGAATTGGGGACAGTGGGGGATGTGGTCACTGTTGCAAAATTCTCATGGGGGCGTCACCCAAGCTTAATCGCAATAATTTCTGATAAATCCTCCAAGGGTTAGGTCTAGAATGCCTGGGGAGTCCAGAAGAGGGGAAGCCCACGTCATGAGGATAGGGTAATCACATAGGGCTTACTGGAAGAAGTAATGTCTAGGTTGCCTTCTGAAGGACTAGCAGGAGCTAGCTAGCAGATGCCTGGAGTGTTTTCCAGGCAGAGAGAATAGTTGAAGCAAAGGCCCTGAGGCAGGAGAAACCAAGCTTTGCCCAGAGAATATACTATGTTTGGAGTGCTTGGAGCACAAAGCAAAAGAAAGTGGCATGAGAGATGCAGGGGAGGGGAGGAATCAGAAAGTGCCAGATCAGGAAGGGCCTCAAAGGCAGAGAAGCTCAGCTTCTTCCTGAAGGTGGAGGGAAGTTGCAGGGCAAGAATGGAGACCCACACTCAGGTTCTATTCAAGCTCCTCTGGGGTTAAAGAGGGGCAAAACTGAGGCAGGGCACCTGAAGGAGGCAGGGAGGACCCTAATCTACACACGCAATGGGATGGAGAAAAGGGCTGGGATGGAGAACTTGGCCTCTTTGGGGAGCCCTTGGGAGGGATATAGGAGGAAGGTAATGAGGTCCCTGTTTCACCTGGGAACACAGAGGCAGGAAGGAAGAGGGAGGACTCAAGGCGATAATAAAGCTGGGCTGGAAGACAAAGGCTGCTCAAGTGCCCAGCTGTTCACAGCTGATTAAAAGCTGGACCCAAGTGTCCCATCCTCCTCAAGGCAGTCCACATCCCCATGTGTGCGCCGCCGCCCGCTAATGAAAGTGTTACTCCACAAAGCAGCAAGGTATGTGTTGTCACTGGTTCAATTATTTATCTGTTTACTCGGCTGCAGTTTTCCGCTTGTCTCAGCAACTCTATTATAGACTGGGAGCTTGCAGCCTCTCGCCACTCAGCTGGGCGCTAAGAGCCTGGGCCTGGAGAAGTGGAATTAACTCCCCCAGGCTCTGAATGGTGAAGGCAGGAATGATGGGGCTGGGGAGGGGCAGGGATGGGGGTTTCTCCAAGGGCTGGGCTGGGAAGGTCCTGAAAGCCGCTTCCCTAGGCAAAGCCTGCAAGTGGAGCTTGGATCTGTGGTTTTCCTGGGAGGGTGTGCCTGAGAACGGTTAGGCTTCTCTGGATACATCTGCATCCAAGCTGACTTGGACCACATTTGGTCTATACCGTATTGCTGCTGGTTTAGGGGACACAGGCTCAATTTGATGCAGCCAGCATTTATTGAGCGCCCTCTGTGTGCCACACCTCCTTAGACTGAAAGCTCCCACCAAATAAGAAGGCCCCACTACTGCTCAATCACACCAAGTATCCAAGGGAGTCCTGACTAGCGATGGCTAAAACACTGACAACTCCAGGACCCCAAGCAGGATCTGCAGTGGGACCTTCTCCTTATCTCCTGCTAAGCTCCCACCTACTTGTCTCTTCTCTGGACTTAACTACACTCAGACACTTCTCTGCTTCTCCTCTGGGGCTTTGTGCATTTTCACTGGGCATGGGGTGACCCCCGAGAGGCAGGGAAACCCAGGCCCTATGCAGCATGGGGGAGGAGGGAGAGAGCCAACCAGAAGAGGCTGATCTCTCCTCTGACTGGGAGCCACCTGACACTCCCATGACATGTCTATTCCCAAATGCCTCTGATGTCAGGCCAAAGCAGAGCATCCAGCAGCTGATTGTGCCCAGCTTGGCACAAGGCACAAGGTGGTAACATAGTCAGAGGTTCCATCTCCCCACTTCTAGTCTGGCAGGAGTTCATGACATTCCAGGGGCTCCCTCCATGAGTGGTTCCTCCTTCCCCACCCAACCCCACATTCATTTGACCTTTTTGTTGTTGTTAAGTACAGGTAGTCAGTTCCCACTCATAGATACTTTGTACAGGGTTTCCGAGGAGCCGCGGATGGGTTTAAAATGCCAACCTTGAGGTTCAAACTGACCTGTGGTCCAGAGCATTATCCTGCAACACCACACTAGGGCTCTTGTTGTTGTTGTTAGGTGCCATCGAGTCGGTACCGACTCACAGCGACTTTATGCACAGCAGAACAAAACATTGCCCAATCCTAGGCCAACCTCACAATTGTCACGCTTGAGACCACTGATGTTGCCACTTTGCCAACCCATCTCTCTTGGGGTCTTCCTCTTTTTCTCTGATCCTCCACCTTACCAAACATGATATCCTTCTCCAGCAACTGGTCCCTCCTGACAATATGTCTGAAGTATGAGAGAGGAAGTTTGGCCATCCTGGCCTCCAAGGAGCACTCTGGCTGCACTTCTTCCAACACGGATGTTTGTTCTTTTGACAGCCCATGGCACTTTCAATATTCTCCTCCAACACCATAACTCAAAAGCATCGATTCTTCTATGGTCTTAGAACCACCAAAACGCCTTTGAAGTAGTAGTTCTTGACTAGGGGATACCTTGCCCTCCAGGGGACATTTGACAAGGTCTGGAGTCATTTTTGGTAGTCACAATTTATGGGTGGTTTGTTCTTGTCATCTAGTAGGTAGGGGACAGACTGCTGCTACATATTCTCCAATATATGGGACAACCCCCACTAGAGAGACATTTGGCTCCAAATGTCAATAATGATGATGCTGGGAAACGTGGCTTTCAGCGCAGCCTTTAGTGTGAGCCCACAATGTCCTCAGGACGTGGGTAGCATGGACACTGTTGTGGTCATTAGCTTCAGTCCAATTGGACCTACAGCAACCCCATGCACAACAGAACTGGATTGATGTGACCCATGGGGTTTCATTGCCTGACTCTTTTGGCAGCAGATTGCCAGGTCTTTCTTCCTAGCCCATCTTTGGAAGCTCCCCTGAAACTTATACAGCCTCGGAGCACATGATGTGCATTGGCCAGGAGTCAAGTCTGGCTTCTTGAACAAGGGAGGAGAAGAATGGGTTCCCCACATGGAAAGTGAGGATTCTATCACTGAACCATGATTGCCCCCCGAAAACAGACAATCATTTTCCCACTGTGCAGATGAAGAAACAGAGGCACCGAAAGACACAGTGATTTGGCTGGGGGTTCCACGATGGGTTTCTGGCAAAGGTGAGATCCAAACCCAGACCAGGGTTGCCATCCCAGCCCTCCAGGCTAAGGTTCTATATGAACAAATACATCAAGTCCCACCTCCGCCCCCCCCAGTGGCCAACTCCATATGAGGGAAGATGCCAAAACCCAGTGGCCTTGTGAAGCATTTTCCTCCCAAAGCCCTAAATGGGTAAGGCAGCCAGGCCATTTGACTTGCAGTTGGTCTTGGGGCCTAGACTCCCTCCAGGTATTATTTTTTAAATCTCCTCCTAAAACATAGCAGCCCTCTCTTATCGTCCCGATCTCAAATTTCACTATATATATTTTATACAAAGGAGAAAAAAAAATCTGTCAGTAAAACTGTCTCCTCAAATTTATTCTCAGGGACTGAGGGTTTTATTACTAGGAAAATACACAGGCACCCCACACGTATACACACATGCCCACACACCCCAGATAAAGCACCGAAGAATTATCCGAGTCATAAATCCCTGTTACAGGCTGAGGGACAGGGAAGTTTCAAGGACGCGCCTAGTTTTCCTTTGGTTTTATTTACATCTTTTTCTCTGGGGCTGTGTCTGAGGCGTAAGTAAGGGCTTCTACTCAAGCTGCCTCAGACAGCAGAGTCCAGTGAGCACTTAACTGAGTCCCAGCCACAGGGAATGGAGGACAGGCCCCATCTTCCCCGTCAATTTGCTAGACTGGTGGCTTGTGTGTTGCCATGATGCTAGAAGCTATGCCACTGGTATTTCAAATCCCAGCAGGGTTCACCTGTGTTGGACAAGTTTCAGCAAAGCTTCCAGACTAAGAGACAAGGAAGAAAGGACTGGCAATCTATGTTGGAAAATTAGTCAATGGATCAAAACAAAACATT